GTCACTCGCGCTGCTTTCGCCCTCTTCTTCTGCATTGACTTGATAGTGCACTGCACTAGTTGCAGCCTTGTCACCCGCATTCGAGTACAAATATGGTAGCTTTTCCATGCGATCGGGTTTCAGCCGATTTCGTCGCTTGGTGCGGATGAAGGAGTGAACACTCCACGAGCGCTCACTCGCAGCGGACGACGTCGGGATGCTCAAAACGCGGGTAGCCAAAGCATGTAGGAGCGGAAACTTGTTAACCTTGACCAGCCACCAGTCTAATGGCGTGTCCCTCGCGTTTTTTTCGTGGTCTTCGGCTGTCCAGGACTTCTTCACGCGAATAAAAGCCATGACAGCTCGGCGAACCGCATTTGGAGATACGTTGGAGGGTAGACCAACTCGTGTAGCTAGATCTACGCATGCATCGACTGCATTGTCCAAATCATCACCTTCAAAGTCGTCCGTAGACTTAGTTGGGTCCAGTAAAAATGCAGCGAGGATTGATTCGCGCTTGAGGGTGTTCCAGCGGGAGCTAATCTGGCCTCGGATCGTGTTAAGAATACCAGAAGCAACATCATCAGTTTCGCGGTTGTAGATGACGTGGGTTTTCAGTCCACGAAAGTATCATACACCATCGAAAGGCAACGCCCATCCTTTTCGAGAGCGCCGAGAGCTTGGATTATCGGGTTCACCAGTCGCATTACGGCTCTGGCATTCACCCAAAACATGCTATCAGCCAAAATGGACTCGACGCGATTGAGTTGGCAGCAGCATCTCCGTAACGAGCCAGAAATTCATGGTTGGAAAACAACTCACGCAGCACATCTTCGTTCCTCACGACACTGGAAATACAATTTGTGCTCGAGTACCACAGCGTCGAAACAGGGATGATTAGCGCGCGTCGTCGCTGCCGGGTACCAAAATACTTGCGTTGCAGAGCCCGAAAGCGATAAAGAAGCGCTGCACGTTTACGCACAAATTTGGTAACTAGGACGGCTTTCTTGAAGACGTCACTCATGAACTCCATCCCGAACATGTCTTTGAGTAGAAGATTGATCGTGTGTGCCGCGCAGCCGTTACACGTTAGACTTGGTATCTTGGCCATTAGAAGCTCCCATGACTTACGCCTGTTAGACGCGTTGTCCGTCACAACAGCGCATATCGATCCTTTTCCGACGACATTTTCAACAGCTTGAATCACCTTGTTCAACTCTGACGCCATGAACTCCCCTGTATGCTGTTTGTCGGCGCAGCGCTCCGATGACCAAAATATGGGTCGGATAAATGGAGACGTCACCATAAAGTTGATAATGGACTCGCTGTTGGGATCGGACCATCCGTCGCATACAATGGCAACGTACTGCTGCTCCCTCAGCACCTCCATAACGCTGGCAACTTCCTCCGCGTACGCGCTATCAAGCAGTGAGGTCGCCAAATCTTGGCGTGAAGGGAGCGTCATTCCGGGCCGGTACTTCGTCAGGATACACCTCATGGCTCCATTTTCGATGACTCGAAACAGAATGCCGCAGGCATAGAACGCTTTGGCAATCTGAAGATGGAACTCCTTCTTTTCAGTCACTGAGACCGGTCCTAGCACACTCGTAGCCATTTCAGGCCGCGAACGCTTGGATGGACTGTGGGGCCTATCGGAAGTGTCGGGACGATCTCGCTTGGAGGGTGTTACAGGGTAATTAGCCCGGACGTCCGCTGGGGCGCAGGGACAGCTGCGAATGTGTGCGGAGGTTTTTCTTGGGCTGGGCATTCTTGATGAGCTTGGAGCAGTGCCTGCACGTCACGTCGGTGTGCTGCTTCTTCGGGTTGGCCCAACGTGGCACAACCACAATGTACTCGGTCCACACGCCAACTGAAGGGCGACCAAGGCCAGACCCTTCACTGCTAGCCCGGTCCTCGTTGCGGTGGCCGTTTTGGTCCATGGAGCTTGCAGGCTCTACAGGAGCAAGTTTGCGAATGCAGCGACGAGAATAGGCCCCGTGCGCGAGCTGCCTGCCACGTGGAGCATACGCAGATTCATGTCGGTAGACCTCCACGTACGTTGACAACTTCACGAAACGCGTTGACCGAATATTTCTGTCACACCAACTATGCACATGAGGTATTACCGTTAGCAGATCGAATATTTCTGCCACACCAACTATACATAAAAGTTATTAACGTTAAAAAATGGTAAGTACGAAGGTAATAACGGTAACTGGTAATAACTGGATAAAGATTTGACCAACTCTAGTGCAGATTAGGCGATCGTTTTATGGAAGCCACGTTGATATAGCCGTGCTTCATCAGAATGCCTAGGCAATCGCGCAGGCAAGCGATGCATCTAGATCACGATCGATTTCAGCCCTGATTTGTACTCTGATTAGTTAAGTGGTTGAGGTCTAATAAGGGGTTGCTACAGATATGCGTTTTAGCCGGTTCTCACAATAACTATTCGATAAATTAAAATTGCAGAAATATCCATCCCCTAACCCTATGATATCCTGACGTTGCTGAAGTTGCTAGTCCTGAGTCGCTAGTCCTGCCGTTGCTTTAACGACTTCGGGGGGTGGGGTACTATTGAAGGGAGGGGGCACAATCACAGGTTTTACAGTACTAACACCTAAATACTGTGGTCGGTGTAGTTAATCACGGTGTCAGAAGTGTGGGCGAAATCTGTACTCCAGCCGATAGTGTAATGCGTCTGCGTGCATGTCTCTTCCTGGGCTTCCTGCGTCATGGTGATGCGACCAGGCAGAAATCAAGCACCCCTCCCTCCTCACACCGTTGCGCGTACGGTACACGTAGCAGCTTCCGATGATGCTTAGAGCGTGTTCGCCAGGTAGCTGGAGATGGAGATGGCCTCTCGTATTTCTTGTCTTTTGATTGGTCAAAATAGTTTAGTTCACAACGTGACAACTGGAGAATTACCCCGTCTCCTTCTCCAGCTCCCAGAGCTGGAGAAGGAGAAAGTAACTGGAGATTGAGGCAGTTCAGCCGCACAGACAATGGACGAAGAGGAAGCTGCACTGGTTGAGAATCCGACGATGCGCCACGAGGCCCTAAGGAACAGATTCGTACCGTGACCTCACTGCACTTTGAGCCCATGCTACAGTCAGCCGCGTATGCAAGTTGGTTTGAAGACAATCTTCGCTGTACCAAGCCGACTTTCCAACGGATTGCTGGTTTACTACGAGATCAAGGTGTTCTGTATGCTGCTGCCAAAGTACGGCAGCATACCTTTGAGAAGAAAGTTGCAGCCGCGCTTTACTTTTTAGGCTCAACTGGTGGGTACCGAGAGGTCGGTGGTGCATTGGGTATGTCACGGAGCTACGTAATGGAGATTACGACCGAGGTGGTGCGCGTCTTATGAGCAATGGCGGCGGCTGTCATTTCGTTTCCACGGAGGAGAGAGGACTGGGATGCGATCGAGTCAGGTTTCGCTGCGCGTCATGGCTATCCTGGTGTGGTGGTCGCCACTGGCTGACGGAAACGGAGGCGCAGCTCTCGGAGCGTCATCGGCAGCTTGGTCTTGCCACGAGTCCGGTCCCGACGAAGAAACAGCAAAGTAAGGAGAAGGAGAGCGAGTCGTTGCAGTTGCACTGTGATTGGCTAATTTTACCTAGATGCGCTCTGTTGTAGCGAACAAGCAGATGGAGATGCACCAACTCCCTGCAGATATCCATCTCCAGCTGCGTAGCGAACACGCTCTTACAAAGCTGCGCAGCCGCACACGCTCGGCAGCCGATGGAATATGGGTATGTAACATTGAGCACGAAGTTTCCCGGTGTTTGACATCCTATTAAATTCGCGTTCCGGTGCTAGAATAGCCCCATCGGACGGAAAGTCAAGAGGCGAAGCCACATATGCAGCGATGGAGTGCAGTGGTGCTCATGCATTATAGGGACCATGACGCCATGTCTGCAATGAGCAAGGATTTGCAACTCGAAGTGCCTCTACAAGATTTAGTTTGCTTTCGCACAATGTATCCTCGCATTCATCAGACAGGCAAGGTGCGATGCTTACTGGCATCCGCTTGCTGAGCAACAAGCGCAAGATGCTTACTGGCATCCGCTTGCTGAGCAACAAGCGCAAACAGCTACATGTATTGGGCTGACTCAGGTACGGTAGCTGAATGTACGATAAGATCATAGCTCGCTTGTGGCCAACCATTCGTGCTGCCGTAATGCTACGAAGACAGCGACGTACTTGTTGGTCTTCACATCGTGTGCCCCATGCGCTCGTTTCTAGGGCAAGCGCGCATTGAAAACAAAGCGCCCCAAGAGTTCCGCGCTCCATGCCCCAGCCGGCAGGGAGGGATCTTGTCGACACCAAGCTGCTCGCAGGTGACGAATTTTTCGGCACGTAACACGCACGCGCGCTCTGTGCAACGTCCCTTGCAACTTCTGGTTTCTGTGTTGCCGTGCATATCCTGCCAAGTCCCTCGAATGAAAGTCTTGAAGTCGAAAGAAGGGAGCGAAATGGCATCTTGGTTGCTGGTGTTGAAGCATGCAGGCTTTGTTTACCGCCAAACCAACACGTCGAAAGCTCGACGACGCGCGGATGCCTCCGTGAGCAGCTCCTCCGGGATGCGCACCAGGTGGCCACGCGTAAGCGCCAAGCAGCGAGCGAGCGCGCTGCTCTTTGCTGTCCGTTTAACAGGCAACCTCCACCTGGATTCGCTCCACCTTGGTAACACCGGGCGCAGCAATTCACCGCGTCCACTTACGGCGCGCACAGCTCAGCTCAATGCCCGCGTCCGGCGCTGCATGGAGCGAGTCCGTAGTTCGGCATTACCAACCCTGCCCAGCTGCAAGTCTACTATCCCGGCTTACAACTTCCAGTGCACTTGGCAACTCACAAGTTGTGAGTCACAACCACTACGTTCAAGTGCTGTCCATGTGTAACTTTTTATCTCTCTCACTACTTTCCCGTATGCTGCGCTGTCCAACCCAACCTGCTCTTATATCCGTCCCCGCAATCGTCCGCTCGAAACCTGCGCTCGAAGGCTTTGATGCGCCCGTGGGTCAGTTCCCAGCAGCTCCGCTAGGGCCGAGGCCGCAGACGACAGAATGATGTTCCCGCTGCCGCTGGACTTCTTCCCCCCGCTGCGCCTGAGCAAGCAGGAGGCGCAGTCCTTCCTCCAGTGGGGCGACTCGCTGCTGCAGCAGACCATCGACGCGTACCACCGCGAGCAGTTCGACACGCAGGAGATGCGCGAGCGCAAGTGGAAGCCCATCAAGCAGCGGCGCGACCTGACGGTCTACCGCCGGCGCAAGATCAAGGACGACGGCGACTACAAGTTCCTCTGCACGGGGCGCATCGACGGCACGCTGGACGAGGTTGTCATGGGCCGCTACGCCGACAACACGCCCGACTTCCGCCGCATCTCGGGCGTCTACCGCGACGACATCGTCGACTGCGCCGTGCTGGGCGTCATCAAGAAGCGCAGCCCCGAGGACCCCTTCTTCCTCTCCTGCTTCAAGTGGATGACGGTCGAGTCCCCCGGCAAGGGCCTCGTCAAGAACCGCGACGTGTGCTGGTACGAGCAGGTCGGCATGACGCGCGACCGCAACGGCAAGGAGATCGGCTACACGCTCACCGAGTCCGTGGAGCTGCCCACGTGCCCCACCTTCAACGAGTGCGTGCGCGCCAAGTTCTCCATCTGCTACCTGTATAAGCGCAACAAGAGCGGCGGAGTGAAAGTCTACATGCGTGGCAAGAACGACGCTGGCGGGAAGGTCGTGGACTGGGTGGCGGACATCAAGTCGGCCGAGCTATGGCTGCGCATCGAGCAGGCCATGCCCGTGGCCCACGCGGTCATTGCCACCGCGCTCGTGGAGGCCGGCAAGTACACGGTGCGGCCGTTCATCACGCACAAGAAGTGCGAGGTGTGCCACGCCAAGGCGTCCGGGTTCCTCAGCTCGTCCAAACAGTGCGCCGTGTGCCACCGTCTCACGTGTTCCAGCTGCGTCGCGAAAGTACGCGTGCTCAGCTTCCACGACTTTCGCGTGCCGCACCACGAGCTGTTCTGCAAGAAGTGTATCCGGTTGATTCACCAGGTGGATCTGCGCGCTCCGGAAAGTGTGCAAAACCTTGTCGAATACGCCGCCGCGTCGCTGACCGGGCCCGAGAGCTCGGAGAACAGCTTCATGAGTTCGCGTGGCAGGGCAACGAGCCGACTCACGGACGACAGCGGGGAGGGTCTGGACGAAGACCGATTCCGACACAAGGCAACGTCCGTGACGAGCAGCCACAGCAGCAGTAGCGGCTCGTTCCGCGCGCTCCCGCAGCCTCGAATTGGCGTGAATCGCCACGACCAGGACGAGGAGACCCACTATTATACGCAGTCCGGAGGAGCCGCTGCTCCTCTGCCAAAGCACCCCGGGCGGCCAACGCATTCGTCGTCGATGCCTGCCGTGACTATCTACGATGGTCCTGTGAAGAGCAGTCGCAGCATGGATGCCTACACTCAACGCCGCTACAGCCGCTCACCGCCGCCCAGTCCAGAAGACAACTATTATAGGGGGCGCGACTCGGAGACGGCGTTGATCCGGGCCCGTTCGATTCCGAGTGCGGGACCTTACGGCGGGAACCTGAGCAGCCCCTTGTCTTATGAGCGCAACAGCGGAGACACCTCCACGGACTCGCTCATGACGCAAATCATCAAAATGAACCTCATCGCCGAGCAGTCCCGACAGCAGATCCAGGACAACCTCAAGCTGGCACGTCAACTCAGCAGCACCCGCTCATAAGCTGCGCCAGATCCTGCTTGCGTGGAAGCTGGATCGGAACGAGCACGTCCCGCGGTTGTACATATGCGCTAAGCAAACCAGGTTCCATGCGTCATTTATTTCGCTCGCCAGAGCTGCCATCACTATAAGCCCAATATCACCACAAAAACCATTTCTTGATGTTTGCGTCTTCACGGCGGTCAACACGATGGCCAACTTAGCTTAAAATGTACGTGGCGGACTGGAACCACCCCGCTCGACGAACCTTCCGGACGCGGTGTTCTGTGAGGAGTTTCTGAAGGTGCTTGTCGACGGCCTTCCTCGCCGAGAGCTGCAGCAGGTACGGAAGTGGCTCATAAACTTCATCCACAATCTCCGCCGTCGACAGCCCTTCCTGCCGATCGCTGTGCTTTTTGAGCACTTCCAGCACATCTTCCTCGCGCTGCTGGCGGTGCTTAATGTACTCGAGGATCTTGCCAGGTGCATCCTTCACCACGGGGCCATGCCCCGGGTAGATCGTAGCAGCGCCGCAAGCCTTCAACTTGGTCAACGACTTCATAAGATCCGCCAGCGAGTCGAACACGCAGCTACCGAAACCCAAAACGCAGTCTCCCGAGAACAGCACGGAGGCATTCAGCCCCTCCACCCCATTCAGCAGGAAGCAAATGTGGTCGTTGCAGTGTCCTGGGGTGTACATTGTTCTCAACACCCCTGCAGTACCCGGCACTGGGAACTCCTGTCCGTCTTGCAGCGCTTGAATTCCGAGTCGTCGACTCTCCTCGTTGCTCAGTCGCAGTCGCCGATCTCCGTCCCCTTCGCCTTCCTTACCCGCCTCAGGCAGGTACTTCCACACCTTCATCTTGGGAAACCTCTTCCTCAGTTGCAGCAGTCCCCCGACATGGTCCAGATGACCATGGGTCACCAACAGATCCGAGATCTCCTGCACCCCGTCACGCTCGAACACTTCCAGCAGCCTCCGAACGAAAGCTTCATTGCCGTCGCTGCAGTCGATTAACAGCCGCGAGGGTCCATCCCCCACCACGTACACGTTGGTGCCGCTGAGCGTCATGCGGCTGGGGTTGTTCCCCAGCACGCGCAGCACTGCACCAGGCAATTGGTCGACGTCTGGGATCGTCGGAAGACTGCGCGATACTCCGGAGACCCACAAGATCAGCGACTGCAGCTGCACCTGCAGGTGGAATCGCAGCAGCGACAGCGTAGGAACATGGGAGAGACTGCTACACCCGCGATACAGCAGCAAAGGACGCAGCACCAGCCACGCGCCGGCCGCCACTGCCCCGCCGAGCAGCACCGGAGACCACATTAGGCTTGACGATGAGCCGGCGAGGAAGAAACTGTGACGTGTGAGAAATCGGGGCTGGAACAGGAAACTGAGGCCCTTCTTTAGGGAGCCTCGCCCAAATAGGGGATCTATAGATGGTGGCGCTCGGAGAGTGGATTTGGCTTAAAACAGCGTTAGTTTAGCATAATAGCTACTCTGTTTTACTGAATTGACGAGCCTGGGTGGACCGGCGCTGGACTTCCAGTCAAAAGAGCGGATCCGTCCACTCCAATTCAAGTGCTGCTCCGCCACCGAGGAGGACCTGCCCCAAGTGCACGACGACGACGCTCGTTCGGCCGGTGCTCAGTGCTCTGCGGCAGTCTGCGATGGGTCGGGGGTCTGCGCGTTACTCGTCTCGCGGCGGCGGACGTCGCGGAGGGCGTGGTGGACGCGGGGGACGCGGCGGACGGGGCGGCGGGCGCCATGACGGCCCGGACTTCCGCGCCGCGGGCTACAACGACGGCACGCCGTGCAGCGTGGACGAGTCCGTGGTGGGCATCCGGCGCTTCCTGCGGCCCGAGGTGGGCGGCTTCCACGGCGCCACCAAGCAGCGCTACTCGGACTTCGTGGTGCGCGAGGTGGCGCTGGACGGGCGCGTGGTGGAGCTCTCGGACGTGCAGCGCTTCGCGCCCGCCGCCAAGCCGCAGAAGGTGAGCGAGGTGTTCAAGCACAAGGTCTTCGCGCTGCTGAACGACGCCGCCAACGACAAGATGGACATCCCCGCGCCCGTGCACACGCTGGTGGGCAAGCTGGCCGGCCGGCTGCTGGGCATGTTCAACGCCAACAAGCGCGCGCGGGCGCTCAAGCAGGAGAAGGAGGACGTGCAGAGGCTGCGCGCGGCCATCGCCGACGTCTGCGGGCAGGAGACGGCCGACAAGCTGCAGGATTTCATGTTCAAGCTGATCGACGCGCAGGTGGAGGAGGAGGAGGCCAAGCGCCTCGTGAACAACGTCAACAAGGCCAAGGCGGCGGACGAGAAGAAGGCCGAGGTGGAGACCAAGCCCGATGAGAAGAAGGAGGCGGAGACGGCCTTCTTCTTCCCGCCCATCGACGCCAAGGAGACGCGCGCGGCCGTGCACGAGGTGGTGCGCAAGTTCGGCAGCGGCATTGTCGTCTCGGACACGACGACGAATAGCGACGGCGTGTCGGTGATCAGGATCCGCCGCGTCATGGTGGGCGGCAAGAAGCGCAAGGACATGGATCAGCGCGGCGGGAACAATGCGCGCGCGCCGTGGCCCAAGAACCGCCCCGACTACCTGCAGTTCGTGCTCTACAAGCGCAACATGGAGACCAACAGCGTCATGATGCAGCTGGCCAAGGCCATGAACTCGAACGTGGCCAACTTCACGTACGCCGGCACCAAGGACAAGCGCGGCATCACGACGCAGCTCTGCACGGTGTACCGCGGCTCCAAGGAGAAGCTCGAGACGCTCAACCGCGCTGGACGCGACCTCGACTCGTTCAACTTCCTCGTAGGCAACGCCACGTACGTCCCGGAGCGTCTGAACCTCGGAGACTTGCGCGGCAACCGCTTCTCGCTGGCCATCCGTGACCTGCCGGACGATGAAACCATCTCGGACGAGAAGATTCACGACGCAGTGCGGAGCTGGGGCGAGCACGGCTTCATCAACTACTTCGGTCTGCAGCGCTTCGGCACCAAGGCCATCGCCACCCACGAGATCGGCCGCGCGATCCTGCAGCGCGACCACAAGCGCGTGGTAGAGCTGCTGCTGTCTCCGCAGGAGGGTGATGCTACCAAGATCCGCGAAGCCCGTCAAGCGTTCCAGGAGAACCAGGACGTTGGTGCTGCGCTGAAGGCGCTGCCCCCGTATCTGATCGCTGAGCGCGCTGTACTGCAAGGACTCCGCGCGCACGGTCTGACAGCGTACGCCACTGCTATCCAGAGCATCCCGCGTCACCTCCGCATGATGTACACGCACGCGTACCAGAGCTACGTCTGGAACACCGTCGCCAGCGAGCGCTTGACCGAGTTCTCCAGGGAAGCACCCGTGGTGGGAGATCTCGTGATTCCGCATGACAAGATGACCGAGGAGTACGTTGATGACAACGAGAACGGTGACGCGGGTGATGACGAGGATGAAGCCCCCGCTAGCAAGAAGCCCCGCACATCCGCTGAGGCCTCGCGCCCAGACGCAAGTGTTACCGTTGTCACCGCGGAGAACTTGAGCCAGTACAGCATCTACGACGTCGTCCTCCCGTTGCCCGGATACAGCATCATGTACCCGGAGAACGCGCTGAAGCAGCGCTATGAAGAGATCATGAAGGCTGATGGCGTGGACTTTCAAGCTCTGGAGCGCGCGACCAACTCCGAGTATCATCTGCCAGGCTCCTACCGCCACGTTCTCAGGAAACCTGTGGATGTGAAGCATGAGCTCAAACGATTCAACGACCCAACGGTGCCGCTGTTGGAAACGGACGTCGACCGTCTCGCTGGCCGCGCTGCACAAGCCTCCATCCCGGACGCCAAGTCCCGCGCCCTGTGCCTTGAGTTCCAATTGGGCCCGTCCTCGTACGCGACGATGGCGGTTCGTGAGCTGCTCAAGCAGAGCAGTAACCTCGACGTGCAGCTCCAGTTGAAGCAGAAGCTTGATGCTAAGGCGAGTAAGTAAGTGGGGTGCGCTGGAGAATGCTAGATAGAAGATCTCGTTAGATGATTAATCAGTGATGGCTAATAGCGAATACTTTTGATAGAAACGACATGCTAGTCAATGCCAATACGAAATGCAGCACCACCGAGAGCAAACACGTCCTACCAGTGCGCCCGTATTTGCTGGGCAGGCATTTAGATGCCGTCTTCCCACTCCCGACGCTCAATCTTGCTCACGAAGCGGTTGCCGCCACTGCAAACGTTCAAAGAAGATGTTGCAAGTCAGCATATGAGTGGGTATCAAAGCAAAAACATCAGAGGAGCGTACATGTCCTCTCTCGAAATGCGCCAGTAGTATTCTGGACGAGTGCCGTCCATGGTCTGCGTGCGACTGAGCATCTGCACGAATTCCTCGTCGTGCGTGATGCAGACAAGCTGGAAGTTTTGTTGCTGCGAGCGCGCGTTCAAGATGCTGCATTGAATGAACACAACAGAGTTAGATAATAATGCCATATTATGGCAAGGGAATGCATTGCAACCATTCGGAGTACGTACTCTGTGATCGCCTGTGCAAGACCAAACTTGTTTTCGGTGTCGAGATTCGTTGTGGGCTCGTCCAGCGCCAAGATGCCACAGTTCAAGCAAAACGTTTCGGCTAGAGCCAAGCGGATAACCAACGCTGCCAACACCTTTTGTCCGGCACTGCAGCGGCCACGCATATCAATGGCTGCACCAGCCTTTTTCATAACGACGCGGTAGTCGTACGAGCGCGCGGCCTTCGCAGTCACACCCTGCTCATGACCACTGACCAGCTCAATCGTGTCAATATCTTGTCCCTTGTACGTGATCTGCCAAAGCGAGCGAATAATCGTGTTGATCTCCTCCACCTTCCTGGAGTGATACTGCAACAGGGACTCGTCCAGCGCCTTGAAATAGCGGTCCAGGTCTGCCACAGCCATCTGCGTTGTCTCGAACTGAATCAACTTGTGCCGGTACTTCTCTTCCACATCCTTCAGATTCGGCACGCGGAGCTCGACCTTATTCTCGCGAATCTGCGCCATCAACTGCTGCTTCTTTCCGGACACTACAGCACGAGACTCCTTTGCAGCAATCAACGCCATACTGGCCGACTCGACTCGATCGTTCACATCGTCCAGGGCCGGCAAGTTCCCAACAGTGGCCTTCAAATCTTCGACCTCAGCACGCAGCTTCTCCAGTTCCTTTTGAAGCGCACGGTAGTCCAGGTTGTCCTGAATGTGGCGCTTGACGATTTCATTCTTGCTCAGGTTTTTCTCTGCACTCTTCATCTGGGGTACCAGATCAGCCAGGGATTGAATTGCTGTATCCTCTCGCTGCTTGGTGTGCGCAATATTGTCGCTCAGTGTTTGAACTTCGCGCTCCAACTTCTCCAGCTCTCCACGTTGGACCTGCTTGCATTTGTCACTGAACACGCGGAAATCGCCCTGCCGCTCTTGAAGCTCTGTACGCTGGGCCCGCATCTGCTCTCTCGCCGCAGCGCGGTGCGTCTCGCGCTCAGTGGTTTTCGAGCGCACTTCATGTTCTAGCTCGGGCTCCGACTTTTTCAACTTGGAGCAGGCATCCTTCAACGTTTTCTCTTGGTCGCGCAGTCTATTTTGCTCCTTGATGGCGTCGTCATATTCCTTGCGCTGCGTTTCCATCCTAAGTTTCTCTTCCCTTCGGTTGTGGAGATCATTCTGCAACTGCTGCAGTATTTCGTTTGTGTGATCCAGCTCTCTCTGCTTGCGCTGAACCTGACGATTCAGTTCCTGAAGCTCAGCCTGCTTTGCATCTTTCTCTGCTTCCACATCTGCAAGCGATCGACCACCCATTCCTTGACTTGCCTTCATGCGCTCCTCTCGCGTAATGGTCATATCGGACATATGGAGCTCGTCCGCAGTTTTGCGCAAGCTGTCAAGCTCGGTCTTCGCTACCTTAGCATCCTCGAACTTTTCCTGGATCAACTCGAGTGCTGTTTTCTTGTCCAGGACGCCATTCTCCAACGCTTTCTGGGCCGCATAAATTTCCTGCAGCTCATTTACCTTCTGAGGGATTGTGGTCTCCAGCTCCAGCCACTTACGCCAGCTCGGCATCTGCTGCTTAATCCCCGTCAGCGTTTCGAGCGTCGACCTTTCCAGCTCCTCTGCTTTCTTGATCTTGTCAGCAACCTTCCCGTCGTCCGTCTTGTCACTCAGAATGGCTTCGAAAGCCTGCTCTTCTTCCGGGGTCATGTCGCGCTCGCAAAGAGGACAGCAGTGATCCTTGATTCCCTTCTTCTTGTAAATGTTGAGGAACATCACCATGTTCTTTCGACGCACAACCTTGTCCTTGGCATCCGCGTACGCCTGCTCTGCTTCCTTCACTCCAAGCTCAGCATTGCGCAGGTCTTCGCCGGGAATAACCTTTTCGAGAAGTGCCTTCAACCCAGTCATGTGCTGTCTCTCCAGCTCATTTTTCTTCTGCCGCAACGAGTCTAGCTCTTTCTCAGCAAGCTTGGACGATGTGGTGTTTTCCATCAGGCGCTTCTCTGCGGCCGCTAGCTCCATCCTCTTCGTGTCACAACTGCGCTTGCGCTCAACAATGAGGGAGTCAATGCGACCAACCGCCGACGCAAGCGAGTCTCGGTCTGTTGGCTTGTCGCCACCCTCCAGGATCTCCTCGAAATCTGCCACCTTCTCGCTAAGAGTGGCCTGAAAGGCTTCATGCTTCTTGAGGTAATCGTTGCGCTTGAACTCAATTTCCGAGTTTTTGCTCGCGTACAGACGTAGCTGGCCGATCTGCTGCCCCAACGCGTCGATCACGTCGTTGATATCGTTGATCTGGCGATTATAGCCTTGGATCTCGCTCTTCAAAGCCATCACATCGTTCTTTTGCTTGTAGTCCTCCAACGACTTCTCCGCCTCGGTGACTTGACTACTCATCTCGTCTGCCTCTCGCTGGGAGTGAACACCGGCGCCACCGAGCTCTCTTAGTCGGCTCGTAAGGGCCCTTTTCTCCTGGTTGAGCGTCTCGAGGCTGCGTGTTTTGCTATTCAATTCGTCTCTCAGTTGCTTCACTCGCGAGGTCAGCTCCGACAGCTCTGTGGTCAACTTATCGTCTTCCTGTCGCTGTTTGGCGTCCAGACTGTTCACCTCTTCCTGCTTGTCCTTCACAACATTCCTGAACTCCGCCACAAACGCCGAGATGTCGTCCTGCTGCGACGACAGCGGCTGCAGGTGGAAACGGTACTTCGTGCCCAGCTTCGCCGCCAAATCAATCAGGTCCGCAACCATCTTCTGGTACGTGGCGATGTTCGTCTCCACTCGGGCCTTGGACGCTCGTAAGGCGACGTAATCCTCCTTGGACTTGTTCTGCTCTACCTGCAGCCTCGCCTCCTGCGCTTTCAGCGCGCCGAACGCTCGGCGGTGGTCTTCAATAATGCCGTCATAGTCATTCAAAAACCCTTGCAGCTCCTCGTCCGAGTCGTTCATAATGTTCTCAATCTTGCCGTACGCGCTGCGCACGCTCTGCTCCTTAACCACAACGTCCTCCTGTCGCCTCTGCAGCTGAGTGTGCAGCTTCCTCACCTCCTCCTGCAGCTGCTGCAGCTCCTTGAGCGTCACCTCCGCCTGTGCAATCTTCTCCTCGGCCTCCTGTCCCTCCTCCGTGGCCTCTCTGAGCTTCTCCTGGGCCAGCTCGATCTTCTCCCTGATGCCCTCCGCCGTCCTCATGTTCACCGTCAACACATCCAGGTCTCTCTTATAGTCCTTGGCGTTGTCCAACCTGGCTTTCTTCAGCTTCCTAATAGCTTCAAGGGCCTTCGTGTACCTGGCCGACTCGAAGATGTTGTCGAAGCGTTTCTTGAGCTCCGCGCCCTCTTTGAGGGGCCAGTTGGACTCCTCCTGGTGACAGAAGATGACGCTCTCCAGTATGGCCTTGGACACGCCCAGCATGTCCGGGATGTGCTGGTCCAGCTCGCCGCACTTGTGGCTGAGCGACACCTTCTCGCCCAGCTCGTTGACCACGCGGATGACGCCGTCCAGCGCCTTGAACGTCAGGTTCTTCTTGGTCTGGCGCACCTGGAACGAGCGCTGCACCACCATGGCCTTGCCCGCGCGGTTGCGGAAGCGCAGGCGCACGCTGGCCTTGACCTCGTTCGTGCCCGCGATCTTGGGGTCGTGCACGAGGCTCTGGCCGCTGCGCGCGCCCGGCGGGAGGCCGCCCGTGCACGCCAGCTTGAGGCACTCGATGACCGTCGTCTTGCCGCAGCCGTTGTCGCCCAGCAGCACCGTCAGCGGGTGGTAGAACTCCACGATCTCCTCGCGGTTCGGGCTGAAGCTGCGGATGCCGCGGATCGACAGCTTCTCGATGCTCGACATGGCTGCGTCTTTGTCTGGGTGCTTGGCGCCGGGAAAAACGTCGGACTTAAGGGGATGATCTGTGACGTGTGGGAAAGTGAAGCTGCAGATGTATGGGGGGGCAACTTCAACTTCAGGCTTACTAACTACAGTAGTAGCTACACATGGAGGACCTTGATGAGCATGCACGCTTGCTCACTGCACAAGAGGGGGGGACGAGCTACTACGCTACCACTACAGTGTCAGTTCTCTTCTAGGCGATTACTGGCAAGCGAAGTTACTACACTTGAGTGAGCTTTAACTGGTATTTTTTCCTGCGCGTTTTCGTTTGACCGTTGTGAGCCCAAGCACATGTGGCCAAATAACCTTAGTGATGCGAGCTCACGCGGACGAATTCGAGTATGAAAATCCATTTCGCTATTGATCCTAGTGTGTCCGGTTGCTCTACAACAACACACCCGAATATATTCGTAAAAATGTTTCAGATTGCAGCAAACACTGAAGTTCGCTGCATGGGATATCGCGACCTGCAATCATACCTTTTTCTATTTAGCAAGGACCGCTTGCAAGTCGTGAATCGAACACATGAAACACGGGACGAAGCCCACAAAAACATGCATGCGTATTATAGTTTTCGTTGGGGGCTAGACTCGCGTGCCCGGCACTACGAGCCGGAAAGTCTAGCCCAGCTGAGCCGCGTCGTGTTTGTCTGACATTGCTGCACAATAGCATAACTACCATTCTTCTCCATCCAGAGACTTAGGGACTCGCAGCTACATCACGAAACTCTTCAACAACAACTACGTAGAATCTCGTGTCACCATGACTGGGGATGACCAAGTTAGGCCGCCTGTGTTGGGCTGTGTCGATATCGCGGCCAGTCCACTGTAACTTTTCAGCACCAAGTTATGCAGCATGTACTACTCTTAGGGCAGTGCTACGGCATCCAGACTTCCGGAGTCAAAGGAAGGACTCTCAGCAGGGCTCACTTTGAAGATCAAACTCACTGAGTAAGGCTGAGTAAGGAGCTTTGCTTTTAACGCTGACCATTACGTGGTAATTTTTGGTGCGGCGTGGGGCGTACACCCCGTCGAGGATCGCCTTTTAATATGTAATGTGAATTATTAGACGCGCGGTGTTCTTACTGGCGTTTGTGGCTCTGGGATAGAAATCAGCATGGACAGTGTTCCATTAAGTGAGTAAGTATTTGATGAGTACGGATCAATGCTTTTATGAGCTGGCATTTTACACTGTAGCACCTTCATTATTTGTGCAAATGCTGGAGTACGATGAGAATACATGCACAAGTGCACAAGTGCATGTAATATGTACGTCCGTACGTATACTTGTCGAGCCAACAACAGAACACCTGCGGACGTTTGCTAGCAAAAGCAAGCAAACTTACAGCAGATCTGCTGCACGGGGGACATTGAAGCAATCGAGCGGCAACTCTTCACGAATATATAAGACTGTAGTAGTTCGCGACAGAGTTGTTGACGAGAATCCCCTGAGCACGAAGAACCTGACACTAGTCGCTAATAAGTAAACGGCAAAGCCCGCAGGTAAGGCGTCGACCCATGAAGGCAAGAAAGTCAACAAGTTGGGATGACATGAGAGTACTTAGCGTAGTCAAACCAACTGAATTTGGCGCATCGGCGAGGATTCACGCACCTGTGTTCATCTATAGCACGGGATTCTACTGTCATAGAGGCTATGACACGTACAAAAATACTCTGAGTTTGCCCCCGCGCGGCGCGCACCCCGCACCCGGGTGCGTCCCGTGGAAACGCCTCACACATCTTGCGGTAGGAAATTGCATCTTTGCTACGGTCTCCGGGCGAAAGGGAAATTCCCGCCACCAACCTCCATCCTGCCACGCGCGTTTTGACTGCGTTCGAGCGCACGAAACATCATGTTCGGATCGCAGACCATCCTCTAGGAATGTCAAGGAACAGGATCAATTTCATTTTTATCTATGCTGGGAGGGAATTCAATCAACGAACGCATCATTGATAGACGCGAACATGACCCACCCAGTCGACAGCACAGCAACAACGGACGTCGGCACTTCTCGAGACAAGGAAACAAAAGCAAAATTACACCACGGAGCCCTAATATTGCGCCGAACACGCAGTCGCGAGCAGCTCGCCGCTCGTAAAGCGCAGTCCACGTTTACGCGCGCTTTCTGCCCACAATCACCACCAGGTAAGGGCAACCCGACGCTCGGCGTTGTTGGGGACCGGTATGCATTGCGCGCCGTCGAGTAGCACGACCACCGCAAAGTTGAAGTGCAGTAACATCATGTTTCAGAGGCAAAATATAAGAAGTGACAGGCAACCTCCCTATTTAAATACCCCACCGAAACAGCTTTCTTGCTGCACTTCAAGCAGAGCCAATCAAAATTTTGCGAGCCTGTATTAAGTTTATTAAAATAAATGAGTCCGGCATGGGTACAAAATAGATTCCGCATCAGATTGTCCTGCACACTTTTGTTCCTGTGCTGCCGCCAAATGACTGGCCTACAGTAGAAGATCATAGACTCTCTTCCCTCCGCGAGTGTATCTTGACGGCACCACAACCGCGCGGTATTTTCGCGGCGTCTATGTCTTGCGGTACAAAGCGCAGCTCGCGAGCCGTGAAATATCCGCCGAAGTCGCTGCTGTATTCCAGAACCCCAGCCCTACATTAACTACGTACAACACATCAACAGCCAGTGCTTGAGACCAGAGGAGGAGGGGGAGAGAATCGAGCGAGCAGCTCCGCTCGTCGTCGACTGCACTGCATTCCCCTCGTCGCGCGCTCCGGACGAGACCATGCAAGCCCCCACGCCGCCCGGTGCGCGCCCCACCCGCCCCGACCCTCTGCTCGTGACGGGACTGACCTCCTCTGTGTGTCCGCAGGCTCGTCCGATGGCGCGTCGCCCGTCCGCGCGCACAGCAGCAAGAAGCCGTCGCCCGCCGACTTCATGTTCGGCGCCACGCTGGGCGAAGGCGCCTACGCCCGCGTACGGATCTGCAGTGGTTAAAGGCGGTTAAGGAGGAAGGAGATAGAGGAGGCTGACGTGGAGTTGTTGGCGGCGTTTGTTTAGGTGGTGCACGCGCGCATGAAGGACACGGGCGTGGAGTACGCGGTCAAGATCATGGAGAAGCGCTTCATCCGCAAGGAGAAGAAGGTCAAGTTCGTCATGATGGAGCGCAAGGTCTTCTCCAAGATCTCGCACGACCGCGTCGTCAAGCTCTTCTTCACCTTCCAGGTACCTACCAACGCAGCTCTTGGGCACACAGCATGACGCCGTGTTGTTGCAATATTTTTTTTCTGATATTTTTTTGTCGCTGCTGCTGGCTGTGGAAATGCGCAGGACAACAGCTACTTGTACATGGTGATGGAGCTGTGCCGCGGCGGTGAGCTGCTCGACGTGATCACGTACGTTCCTTGCTGTTCATGTTTGCTCGTCGACGTCTTGCGTCACCGAGTTGAAGTTTGCATTGTCGAAGAAAACTGACCTCGAACTGGACTGCAATTTTTTTTTACTGCTGCGTAGTAAGCACCAGAAGGAGCAGGCTGCTGCGGGATACACGGACCGCGCGTGCTCGCTGGAGCTCACGAAGTTCTACATTGCCGAGGTGGTGGTGGCGCTCGAGTATTTGCACAAGAACGGCGTGATCCACCGCGATCTCAAGCCCGAAAACATTCTTCTTAGCGATGACGGCCACCTCAAGGTGACGGATTTCGGCACGGCCAAGGACGAGACGGAGGAGAGCCGCCACAACACTTTCTGCGGCACGGCGGAGTACGTGTCGCCCGAAGTGCTGCGCGACCAGGAGGCTTCTCGCGGCTGCGACCTGTGGGCGATGGCGTGCATGGTGTTCCAGATGCTGGTGGGCCGACCCATGTTCCGCGCCGAGAATGAGTACCTCACTTTCCAGCAGATTTTGAACCACCCCGCGGAGGACTTTGCATACCCGCCTGGATTCCCGCCCGTCGCGAAGGACCTGATCGACCGCATTCTCCTGCAGGAGCCGAACGAACGTCTTGGAGCTGGCTCGGATGAGGAAGGAAATGGATACAACGCGCTCAAGGCACACCCGTTCTTCGAAGGAGTGGACTGGGACTCGGTTGGATACGTCCAGCCGCCGTACGTGCCAGAAATCGGCCGGTTGCCACCTACTGACTACGTAAGTTTGTGCTGCGGGATACCAACCCTACAGGGATGTGTGCAAGCTAATGACGTGTTTGTTGTTGATGTTTGTAGGATGGTGCGACCGAGGACTGGCTGTTTGCTGGTGTTGCAACGGAGCTGCAGGTCTCGTCGGGACTCGCGCTGGACCCCCCGCCTTCTCCGTGCGTGCCGTGCTGTGCCATATCATGAAGGCTAGAAGAAGAACTTGTCATGCTCACACGCAACCTGGCTGTGTGTGTCTCTGTCGTTCTGCAGGGCGGAGCACGTTAACGTAGTGGAAGTGGCCCGCCAGAAGGCAGCAATACCGCCTGCGATGCGGCGTACGAGCTCGCTCTGGAACCGGTTCCTGCTGGATGACGAGCTGATTAAGATGGGCGGGCTCATTAGCAAGCGCAAGGGCCTCTTCTCCAAGAAGCGACAAGTGCGTCTGGCTGTAGACTCGGATTTGTATGTGACGTCATGTGTGGATACTAAGACTTTGTTCTTTTGTTTTGTGTCTCAGTTGATTCTCACGTCGAAGCCCCGTTTGATCTACATTGACCCCATTAGAATGAAGCAAAAGGGAGAGATCCCGTGGTCCGACAGCCTCTACGTGAATTCAAAGAGCGCGACCGCCTTTGACGTCGTGACGGTGAGCGACCGCAATACCTCTATTGGACAGTGCAAGACCAGCGATTGACTGATTTGATTGATTGACTTGTGCTCTTTTGCAGCCGAACCGGGTGTACCATCTGAACGACCTCGTCAACGGGTCGAAGAAGTGGATCGAGGCCATCAACGCGGCGCTGGTGCGTCGGATGTAAACAACCGACCGACGCCCCCACTCGAACCCTCTTGCCCCGCTACAGTAATGCTTTGCGCAAATGGATTACATGTTGAGTAGACGCTGTTCGTTGCCGAGTCTGCCTCAAAGAGACCACGAAATGCAAAACTTTACCCGTGAACTTCATCTTCCACCCTCTCAACCATAAACAACCATCACGCAACAAACATTTCGACAGGATAACACAACTCTATCCAGCAACAACCAAAAGCAACACCTGTTTCACGAAATACTACAGTAGTAGCAGTAGGTAAAAAGATTCTCCGTGCCGAAACGACTTAGCATTGATCGATCAACAAAGAGCAACTTTGAGCCCCCTAGACTACAGCCATTGTGCGACTAAATCGAAGGACTAAATTTACTCGTCGTCCTCGTCGTCGGCGTTGCCGGCGTCGTGGATGTTGAAGTAGCGCAGCTCGTACGTGTTCTTGTCCGAGGCGATCACGTGCAGGTAGTCGCGCAGCTGCTGCTTCTTCAGGTACTTCTTGGTCAGGTACTTGAGGTAGCGCTTGCTGAACGGGGGCACGGCCACCACCTGCAGCTTGGTCTTCTCGCGCGTGATCTTGACGGCGTCACCGAGCACGCCTGTCTTACCGCCGACCTTGATGCGGTCGTGCAGGAACTTCTCGAACGAGGCCGGGTCCAGCACGTGGTCGTCCACGGGGATCGTGCAGTCGATCGTGAACTTGAGCAGCTGCTTCTTGCTGACCTTCTTTCCCTTGTGCTGCAATTTTGGCGAATTGTAATTAGCAACTCGAAAACCTCACGAGACAATAATTATTGTCCCGTGGGCGAGTGGCTAAAAGTTGCGGAAAATCTGTTGCGTCGTCCTCGCTCCCCTCTCCCTTTAAACAGTGTTAACGTTCCCCCATAAGTGGTGATGCGGCGACCGCGTCTCCCGGAAGAAGACACGGCCGCCCACAGAGAAGGGAACTCTGTTTGCCCGAGCAGAGAAGGAGGACTCTGCAGCTTAGCAACTCAACCACCCGCCCGTAGGACGGACAGGGCGCGGGAACTTACAGCAGGAGCCATGATGTCTAGGTGAGTGAACTGCGGAGTCGTTCGGAGAATGGCCGCGGCATCAGCATAAAGCGATAGGGCTCGACACGCGTGATTGGCTGGAATCCAGCGGCGCCGAATCACTGGCTCGGAGCCGCTCGATATGCTCCCCCTAGCCCGCAGGCGCCGTGATTGGCGGAAAATACAGGCCACCGCCGATGTAGAGGGAGGAGAGCGTTCTTGTACAGGGAGATGAAAGCGGTTGGTCCCGTGGCATTCCTACGCTCGTGCTTGCGAGTGCGACGAGCGCCATCTTGTATCTGGTAGACTCCAAGAAAACCTTAAAGTGATTCAAGGTGCGACTCGGAGCGTTAACACTAGCCTAAACGTGGGGCAAAATGGGTGTGCAAAAATGACTAACGTTGACACTATTACCCCCACACAGATGCGTTACATTGCTGCTTACCTGCTTGCCGTCCTGGGTGGCCACGAGCACCCCACTGAGCACGACGTGATCAAGATCCTGCACTCGACCGGCGTGGAGACCGACGAGGCCCGCGTGGCCGCCGTGGTCAAGGCCATGGAGGGCAAGAGCGTCGAGGAGGTGATCGCTGCCGGCAGCGGCAAGCTCGCCTCGTTCGGCTCAGCTGCTGCCGCCCCCGCCGCCGCTGGCGCCGCTGCCGCTGGTGGCGAGGCCGCCAAGGAGGAGGAGAAGGCCGTTGAGGAGGAAGAGGAGGTCGACATGGGCGGAGGCATGGACATGTTCGGCGGAGACGAGGACTACTAAGCACCATCCTTTGTCGTTCGTTCGGACCAACCTTTGTCACCAGCACCACCTTTATCAGGCTGAGCGGGAGCACTTTGTCCGATCTACCAGAGTAACACATCTAATCAATGGGACACTTTGTTAGGGGATCACCAACCGAACGCAGCGGAGTTTCTTAAGCTAGTGCTAACCGGCGGTTATGGGGGTGGTGGTGTTAACCAAGGTTTGTAGGAGAGAGGAGTGTTGCCATGAGTAAGTTGGTATGTGCCTACTGGATGCAACACTTGGGGTTCTGCTGGCTGCGAATGTCGGGCGTCTTGACGTCGGGGTCGTGTTGCTCGTGGTTGACGATCTGCGCCTTGAGCACGGGCGCCTCCACCTCCAGGTCCGTCTTGGTTAGAGAAATACCGGTCAAATCCGCTGCCACCTGGCGGAAGGTCGTGTTCACCTGGTCTCCGGTCTTGGCGGACACGAAGAAGCTCTTGAGGTCGTTCTCCTCTGTGAACTGCTTGTGCTTGGCCACTTTGACGGCGCGCAGGTGGTTCAGGTCGGCTTTTCATCAACGCAGTTAGAGAGGGCGTACAGGTAGGTGCAAGGTGGCGGTGTTAAACTAACTTACACTTGTTGCCGACGAGCGCCACGTACGGCATGCGCTCGTCGTCGAAAGTGCGACGCACGAGGCGGTACCAGTCCTCGAGGTTCTGGAAGCTCTCGTAGTTGGTGATGTCGTACACCAACAACACGCCCTGCACTCAAGGCAAGTTGTTAGAGGACTCAACTCGCTGCAACATGCCCCGTGGCAGCGTACCTGGGCCCCATAAATATAATTCTTGAGCATCTTGCCGCCGATGCTCTGGCCGCCGATGTCCCAAATCTGCAGCGTCACCTGCGTGTCACCTGTGCAAAGTTTTTTTTTACAAAGTTGGCGGGAAGTATCTTCATTATCGCCAAGAGGGAGGAAGTGTACTTGGCAGTGCCATGCGTTTGAGGAAGAAGTCCAAGCCGATCGTCTGCTTGTACGTCGTGGAGAAGTTGTCCTCCGTGTGCCGCATGGCGATGGAAGTCTTCCCCACGGCGCCATCCCCGAGGATGATCACCTGCGCAGTGCGCAGCAAACACAGACGTCACTACCGTCCACGTGTCCGTCCCCCTCCATTCATGAGGAGCCCAGACTCACCTTGTACTGGAGCTGCTGCGGCTCCGAGTCGCTGTCCGTCTCCTTCGACATGCCGCTTTATTTTTTTTGCCGGGATCAATCTTGATCTGCAACTCTTCAAGATCGCGTCGTTTCGCGAGCTCAGCCGAGTACAGTAATACACATACTTAGTACACTTGAGTTGTCAGGGATTGAATGATGGGGTTGACCCGACCGTCCTGGTTCAATCATGTTTTGCCGAATTTGCAGTCATGTTCGATTTTGGGCAACGAGATCTGAACGACAAGAGAGAAGTGCCGGTTGCTACACGTGAAGAAGAGTGCAAGTTTGGATCCCGTGACCCATCGATGTGGCATTCTGGAAGGCACGGCCCCGGTGGCTTGTGCTCGAGGATGAACTAATACGCTAGCCATGGTAAGCTGCAATATCTGCAGTGGATGCTCGCAAACTGTGATGCACAACCGACAACGGAAGCCATGGACGGCGCGGCTAGCGATGGGAACTATCGGGACATGGTTTGGCTTGACAAGAACCGCTTCGAGGGATGCACCACTGCAGCCATGGACCGCGCTGCGAGCAATGGCTTATTGGACATTGTCAAGTAGCTTCACAAGCGTCGCAGTGAAGGGTGCACCACCGCGGCGATAGATAGTGCCGCGACGAACGGCGTTGTCAAATTCCTGCACGAAAACTGCTCCGAAGGCTGCACTACCAAAGCGATAGACGCCGCCGCAACGAATGGCCACCTAGACGCTGTCAAGTTCCTGCACGAGAACCGCTCGGAAGGCTGCACCATTGCCGCCATGGATGGCGCGGTGACCAATAGCCACGCCGAGGTAGCCCGATGGCTGCATGCAAACCGTTCCGAAGGGTGCTCGACTGCAGCGATGGATACTGTCGCGGGGCAGGCATACATCGCCGCAGTCAAGTGGCTGAATGACAACCGCAAGGAAGGGTGTAGCCCTGCGGCAATGATCAACGCGTCGTCGAAAAGGTACCTGGATGTCGTCAAGTATCTGCACACTGAGGTTGGCCAGCCAGCTACGGACGCTGCGATCACTGCCGCCGCAGAAATGATCACCTTCTGGTTGTGGAGTATCTCCACGAAATTCGATGCAACGACTGTAAGGAGGGGCCTATAAACCAAGCGGAGAGCGATGTGCTTGTTGCAGTTGGCGAGGACATGGACAACCACGGTGGATGGCAGCAAGTTTAAATACCCAAGAGGTTAGTCTACTGCGCTTTGTTTTAGCACGAGTGCATCTAGCGCCTTTTCTCGGATTGCTAAGCTTCAATTCAATTCTAATTCTACATTACCACTCTGATAAGCTGGTTGTTAAATTAAAGACATCTTTCACTCAAACAACGTCAAATCTATCACTCGGTTTCTTCTTGCTTATTACCGAAAAAAAGATTGACGAGATCAAACCAGCATTCCACGATATTGGGGGGGAACATCACCGATCCCCGCGCTTTCCATTCCCAGTTCTGCATTTGCACTTCCGAAAGCTCAGCGTCGCCCAAGCCACCTCCAATAAACCGACCTACGCCATGGACATCCTAACGCCGCAAGAGAAAGCTCAGTATGGATCATTGGCGCCACGCGAATGGCATCACAAGAAACACGGACCCGGGGACTTTTGCAAGAGGATGAAGATCTATTACGCGCATGCTTGTCGTTATTCATGCTTGGACTGGATGGTGGCCAACTGCGACGAGCCACTACCCACCGACGCAGTCGATAGTTACTTATCCAGGGTGGACATACGCTACGTCATTCGGTTCCACGAGGCCCGATTTGAGGAGGGCACTACTGGAGCCATGGACAAAGCTGCAGGCACAGGCTGCCTCGACATTGTCGAGTGGCTGCACAAGAATCGCACTGAGGGATGCACCACTGCGGCCATGGATGACGCCGCGACAAACGGCCACCTCGATGTTGTCAAGTTCCTACACGAAAACCGTTCCGAGGGCTGCACTACCAGAGCGATGGATGGCGCGGCAACTAACGGCCACCTCAACGTTGTCAAGTTCTTGCACGAGAATCGCTCGGAAGGCTGCACCACTGCCGCCATGGACGGCGCGATAACCAATAGTCGAGCGAATGTCGCTCGATGGCTGAATGAGAACCGCTCAGAAGGCTGCTCAACCGCAGCCATGGACAATGCCGCGGGGCAGGGATATCTCGCCGCCGTCAAGTGGTTGAAGGACAATCAAAAGGCAGGCTGCAGCCCTGCTGCCATGATCAACGCGGCGTCGAAGGGACATTTGGAGGTGATAAAGTATCTGCACGCGGAGGTTAATCAGCCAGCTACCAGTGCTGCGATCACCGCCGCCGCGGAGAACGGTCATCTTCGAGTAGTCGAATATCTGCATGAGAATCGAACCGAAAGCTGCGGAGCTGACGCCATTTTTCGCGCAAAGGAGAAGAAACACACTGCTGTCGTCAAATATCTGCTCAAACATGACGAGTGTCGAGCTGCGTACGAGGCGGAGAACGCAAGGATTGTCACTGAAGGAGGATTTTCCACGGCACAGAAGGTCTGGCGCTTGATTTGCCTCGTACTTTTGACATTCCGCTTGCTTCCGCTAATGCTGATAAGCTGCGTCAACGTGCCAAGTGACCGTCGTGTGGGTGACGCCAGTGATGCTCGAACTGAGCTGGAAGAACGCATTCGAGCCGAAGAGGAGGCAAACATTCGAACCAGCGAGCAAGCGAGGATTCGGACTGAAGTGGAGGCGAGCATCGGAGCTGAAGGGAAGAAGGCTCAAGCCGAGAAGCAAGCGAGAGTTCGAGCCAAGCAGCAGGAGATGCGAGCCAGAATCCGTGCTGAGATCCAAACCGAGATCGAGAAAAAGATGCGTGCCGAGATTCGAGCTGAGCTGCTTGGAGAGGATTCGAAGGATGTTTAACTCGTTTACTGACACGTGGAAGACTGCAGAAGAAAGGCGTGACTCGACATCACCAAGCAAACTTTTCATTTTTCTTACTTGATAGGCTAGGTTGCGTAGGTTTCCCTACCGATACGCATAGCCTTTCATACTCCTCGATAAAAATTATCAAAAGGGAAAAAATCTACATAAATCTCCGAGTTCTGAATTCTGAAGATTTTTAAATCCAAGAAAGTGAATTCAGATTCCAAGAAACAATTTCTTGTGCGTTTCATCTCAAGCGGCCAAGCTTCTCGTGATATCTTCCTCGATCTCTCTCCCTAGGCCTAATCGCCTCTTTCATTTTCAGCCATCTTATTATTAATTTGTTTCACACGTCACTTTCGATTTGGAGAGATCACGGCTCTAGGACTCTATTCTACGTACTGATGTCTGCTTCATCTTCCGACGAGTGCGAGTTTGCCAGTCGTAGTGAACCGACCACCTGGCACCACGAGAAGCACGACTCGAGCGACTTCTGCAAGCGGATGAAGAACTATTACGCCAGCCACGGCGATCCGGATCGCTTGAAGTGGCTGCACGACAACTGCAACGCTGAATATTCAGCCGAGGCGATGGACGGAGCGGCGACAAATGGGCACCTCGAAGTCGTCAAGTGGCTGCACGAAGTTCTCTCCGTGGATTCTTCAGCGACGCGTAATTCCGCCAGCACATTCCCCGAGTTGTGGAGCTTCGGCGTCTTGGGCGGCGGTAATTCAACCGCGAAATGCACCACCGCAGCCATGGATGGAGCGGCGATGAACGGCCATCTGAACGTGGTCAAGTGGCTGCACAAGAACCGAGCAGAAGGCTGCACGACCGCAGCCATGGACGAAGCTGCGCGCAACGGCCACTTCAGTGTGGTTCTGTGGCTGCACTGCAATCGGAAGGAAGGCTGCACCACAGCAGCGATCGATAACGCCGCCAGTGGCGGCTACCTGCAGGTGGTGGAGTGGCTACACAAAACTCGCTCGGAAGGGTGCACGCACGACGCGATGATCAATTCAGCGTCGAAGGGATTCCTAGAGATCGTCAAGTACCTGCACGTCAACCTTAACCAAGCAGCTTCCAACGCCGCGATCACTGCAGCCGCACGCAACGGACATCTACCAGTGGTGCAGTATCTGCACGAAAACCACTCGGAGCGCTGCACGGCGGACGCTATCACCGTCGCAAAGGAGAACGGACACACTAATGTTGTTGCGTTCATGCTGGAGCACGAGGAGTGTCGTCGAGCGTACGAAGCAGGCCGGTTCATGGTTGGCGCTGAAACTTTTGATGGTGAGTCTGATGTTGAAGGTGAGGCGACCAAGAAAGTGCCCGAATTGGCTGCCGCTGCTGCTAGTACCACTGCTACTCGAGCTGAGCTTGAAGCGCGCCTTCGTGTGGAGGTCGAAGCGAGCATTCGAGCTGAGGAAGGGGCGAGGATCAGAGCGGAAGTGGAGGCCGCAGTTCGAGCTGAGCAGGAGGAAGTTATGCTGCGTGCCAAGATCCGAGCGGAGATCCAGGACGAGGTGGAGGAGAAGATGCGCGCTGAGATCCGAGCTGAATTGCTCGCCCAGAAGAAGACGCAGCCGTGCACGATCTGCTTTGGCAACATCGACCACCCGATCACGACCTCGTGCAGTCACACGTTCTGCGCCGGGTGTCTGGCCAAGTGGCGTAGCGGAGGTCACGAGTTGTGCCCCATGTGCCGATCGAGCCTCAAGTGAACCGGATTGATGAGGACACTTCTTGACGAAGAAGTTTTATTTTTTTGATAGGGTTTCATAGTTTTCATTCATCCCGATTCGAATTTTGAATGCATGTTCCCATTTTTGACTTTCACGACTTTTGAAGATGGCGTCGCTTCGTTATTGGAAATCCGAGCGAGATGTTGCCTGGCCACCGTGTTCTTGTTGCATTCCTGATGTGCATCGTTATGGTACTTCACAATGTTTTGGGCACCTTTAGCACTGCACCAGTGGCGCCACCTTCAGTGAAGATGGCCAACAGCAACCCCGTACTCGAGATGGTGATCGACGGCACGCTCATGAGGCTCATTCTCACGACAGGTACTTCTTTTTTTCTCAGACCTATTGGTAAATTTGGATATCTATGAACCTCGGATAAACTTTTAAGTTTATCTAATTTTAAAAATTCTTTGTGTGAATTGTGCAGACGTAGATGGTATTGTGGTTTGTGAAGATGCCAGCACGTCACGCCGCGACTGGCTTATGACCGACTCCGAGTTTGGTAAGTAGAACATTTCCTTGATCTAATCTGTACTTTGGTTGAATATTCACTCCTCTCGTCACTACGATTCTGGCCAGACACCGCTCGAAAGCGACTGCGGTACGAGCTGCACTGGGTCTCACCCCACGTACGGGAACATGATGTAGAAGTTCCTGCACTGAGCTTCAGCGGACGCGTCGCTGTTGGCTTCTTCAAGCTGGACAACCAGCAGATGCGGATGGTTGCAGTGGCCTACTATCTGGGAAGCTTGGGCGCGAACGGCTTCATTGGAGCTGGGTTCGTCTTCCACCCAGGCCAGCCGTCACTTTGGGAATCGATCCAGCAAGCAGAAGCGGACCACCTCGGCTACATGCACCATGGGTATAGCCACTTGAAGCAGCAGCGGGCGGTGCATATCGGCACAAATGACATCAAGCTGGATGAGAGCAGCGTCATTGCAGAAGATCTCGACCGAGACAAGTACGTCTGGAGCGAGCCATTCGTCTCACTTGGCGACGACAGTGACGGTGGCTCAAACGCACAAGGAATCTCGTTCCCGAGTATGGTCAAGCGAGTAAATCTACTGTGATCGGAGATATTTGCACTAATCAATCATTGTTTGCGTAGTCCACGAAGCGCGCTTTGAGTGCAGCCTGCAATCGGATAGTGACGAGACGAAGACGCAGTCTGTTCAGCTGTTCGGGGAGTTTTCGAGTACTTGGGACGTTGTTGTGGACTTTAATGTGCCGTGCCTCGAGCTTCCCAAGGAATTCTACGACGCCGTAAGTTGAGTTCCCTTCAGTTCGGTAGAAAATATCCAGGTTTCTTGTCTAACTTCACTGTAGTTGGCAGGGTGGGTTGGCCTCAAACTGGACTCCAGACTTGGTCTGTCAGAGATCGCAGCTCCAGCATCGGCCCTACCAGATCTACTCTTCTCCCTTTCGTTCAACGGTCCTCCGCTCACTCTACCACTGCAGTCGCTTGTTCTACCAGAGCTGTCGTCGTCGTCAAGCGATGAGAATTCTACCAAAGTGTGCATTCAGCGGTCTGGGTCCATGGTGCAGAGGGGAACAGCCGCCTATGCTGCAGTGACCACCTCGGCGGCGGAAGTCGCGCGACTGCACGGAGCGACTGGGATCTCCGTGTACAACATGATCGATTCGCCTATCACTTTCGGTGTCATGGCACTGGACGCCGTGGGGTCCGTCGTATTCGACGACTCCACAAAGCGAACGGGCGTTTTGAAGCGCACAGTAAATTCCGCGTCGGACGATGGCAGTGGGCGAAGCGCTGCGACTTGCTTACAGCCACCATCGTGTCGAGGCCAGCAAGAATACAGCGCACACTGGAACGCTTGTCACGGTACGGATTATATGGAATGAGCTTTGGTTCGGTCGGTTTGGGTGCTTCTACTTAGCCACGATACTCGCCGTTGTCTCGGTGTTCTAGACCCGGACTGCTCCCAGTATTACTTCCACAGCCTGGATGAAGACACAAAAGACTGCGTGATTGTACGTACGCGCGTTTACTGATATTTCTCAACCATTGATCTAACCACTCCTTCTCCTTCTAGGACTCGAGCTGGACGGTGATGCTGGCTGCAACGATAACGGTTTTCGTTGGGGCGGAGCTCTTCTTCTCCCTGTCGCTTCGAAGCCTCGTTTTCCAGTCGCAACAACAAACAACCACCGCAGCTTCCAGTTGATCCCGTTAGAGATTTTTCCGCGGAGAACCCCTTAGTCCCAGTCTATCGTCTGCTGGCTGCACGAGAATCGGTCGGAGGGCTGCACTACCGCAGCGATGGACTACGCGACCAGTGAAGGACGCCTTGATGCAGCCAAGTGGCTGCACGCGAACCGGTCGGAGGGCTGCAGCTCGAATGCTATAGTGAAGGCGGCGTCAAATGGGCACTTAGGGATGGTCAAGTGGCTGCACAAAGAGCTGGGTCAGCCTCTGTCGAGCGCTGCGATGCTTGCGAGTGCTGCTCACGGCCACCTGGAGGTGGTGAAGTATCTCCACAATTTCAAAACTGAGAAGTGTTCGACTACTGCTATTATCGCTGCGAAGGAAAATGGAAACAGGGCTATCGTGACGGCTTTGATGTGGAGAATGCCAACTAGCATCGAAGGGGGCATTGCAAGAATGCGGGCCCAATGGAGCGTCCATGTGGAGCTGGAAGTTGCTATGCAATGCGCAAAACGAGGTTAAAACGGCGAACAGATTGAAGACATTGTTTCCTTTGATGAGGCGAATGTTGCTACTCTTTCTGTAAAAAGTATCAAGGTCGAGCACAGGCCTGCAATCTCTAGACATGGTAACGATTCTGGCACCTGGGACTTGTTTCGTCGTTGGCCATTTTTTTTAATTTGAAGAAGTGTCGAGTTTTGGGGTAACTTGAACCGTTTACTTATACTTAAGCATGTAAAATGCCACGATGAGAACAGATCTTACTAAATCGAAGTGAGAGATGGACGGAGCGGATGAAGACTCAGCTTCGATGATCGAGCCCTGGACGGGGTTTAGATATGGCGCAATAGAAGTACCTCGCTGCAGCACTCGTGTTCAGTTGGAACGGTGAATCGATGAGAACGCGTTCAAGAGCACGGAAGCCGCGAACAAAGACAAGATTGCCCGCGGATTATTCGATCGGATCACCAGCGCCGTCATCTTAGAAGGAAAGGAATGTTCCGTCCGCTTATTCATTCCTCCGGAATAAATAAGTGGACGGCGATAGAAAGGTATGAAAATCGGGCTATTGTAAATATCTCGGTTCAGTTTTTTAAGCACGACGCAGGGACGGATGGCAGGCGGCTAGGAGTGCATGGCTGACCCAGCTCTTTGTGCAGCCACTTGACCATCCCTAAGTGCCCATTTGACGCCGCCTTCACTATAGCATTCGAGCTGCAGCCCTCCGACCGGTTCGCGTGCAGCCACTTGGCTGCATCAAGGCGTCCTTCACTGGTCGCGTAGTCCATCGCTGCGGTAGTGCAGCCCTCCGACCGATTCTCGTGCAGCCAGCAGACGATAGACTGGGACTAAGGGGTTCTCCGCGGAAAAATCTCTAACGGGATCAACTGGAAGCTGCGGTGGTTGTTTGTTGTTGCGACTGGAAAACGAGGCTTCGAAGCGACAGGGAGAAGAAGAGCTCCGCCCCAACGAAAACCGTTATCGTTGCAGCCAGCATCACCGTCCAGCTCGAGTCCTAGAAGGAGAAGGAGTGGTTAGATCAATGGTTGAGAAATATCAGTAAACGCGCGTACGTACAATCACGCAGTCTTTTGTGTCTTCATCCAGGCTGTGGAAGTAATACTGGGAGCAGTCCGGGTCTAGAACACCGAGACAACGGCGAGTATCGTGGCTAAGTAGAAGCACCCAAACCGACCGAACCAAAGCTCATTCCATATAATCCGTACCGTGACAAGCGTTCCAGTGTGCGCTGTATTCTTGCTGGCCTCGACACGATGGTGGCTGTAAGCAAGTCGCAGCGCTTCGCCCACTGCCATCGTCCGACGCGGAATTTACTGTGCGCTTCAAAACGCCCGTTCGCTTTGTGGAGTCGTCGAATACGACGGACCCCACGGCGTCCAGTGCCATGACACCGAAAGTGATAGGCGAATCGATCATGTTGTACACGGAGATCCCAGTCGCTCCGTGCAGTCGCGCGACTTCCGCCGCCGAGGTGGTCACTGCAGCATAGGCGGCTGTTCCCCTCTGCACCATGGACCCAGACCGCTGAATGCACACTTTGGTAGAATTCTCATCGCTTGACGACGACGACAGCTCTGGTAGAACAAGCGACTGCAGTGGTAGAGTGAGCGGAGGACCGTTGAACGAAAGGGAGAAGAGTAGATCTGGTAGGGCCGATGCTGGAGCTGCGATCTCTGACAGACCAAGTCTGGAGTCCAGTTTGAGGCCAACCCACCCTGCCAACTACAGTGAAGTTAGACAAGAAACCTGGATATTTTCTACCGAACTGAAGGGAACTCAACTTACGGCGTCGTAGAATTCCTTGGGAAGCTCGAGGCACGGCACATTAAAGTCCACAACAACGTCCCAAGTACTCGAAAACTCCCCGAACAGCTGAACAGACTGCGTCTTCGTCTCGTCACTATCCGATTGCAGGCTGCACTCAAAGCGCGCTTCGTGGACTACGCAAACAATGATTGATTAGTGCAAATATCTCCGATCACAGTAGATTTACTCGCTTGACCATACTCGGGAACGAGATTCCTTGTGCGTTTGAGCCACCGTCACTGTCGTCGCCAAGTGAGACGAATGGCTCGCTCCAGACGTACTTGTCTCGGTCGAGATCTTCTGCAATGACGCTGCTCTCATCCAGCTTGATGTCATTTGTGCCGATATGCACCGCCCGCTGCTGCTTCAAGTGGCTATACCCATGGTGCATGTAGCCGAGGTGGTCCGCTTCTGCTTGCTGGATCGATTCCCAAAGTGACGGCTGGCCTGGGTGGAAGACGAACCCAGCTCCAATGAAGCCGTTCGCGCCCAAGCTTCCCAGATAGTAGGCCACTGCAACCATCCGCATCTGCTGGTTGTCCAGCTTGAAGAAGCCAACAGCGACGCGTCCGCTGAAGCTCAGTGCAGGAACTTCTACATCATGTTCCCGTACGTGGGGTGAGACCCAGTGCAGCTCGTACCGCAGTCGCTTTCGAGCGGTGTCTGGCCAGAATCGTAGTGACGAGAGGAGTGAATATTCAACCAAAGTACAGATTAGATCAAGGAAATGTTCTACTTACCAAACTCGGAGTCGGTCATAAGCCAGTCGCGGCGTGACGTGCTGGCATCTTCACAAACCACAATACCATCTACGTCTGCACAATTCACACAAAGAATTTTTAAAATTAGATAAACTTAAAAGTTTATCCGAGGTTCATAGATATCCAAATTTACCAATAGGTCTGAGAAAAAAAGAAGTACCTGTCGTGAGAATGAGCCTCATGAGCGTGCCGTCGATCACCATCTCGAGTACGGGGTTGCTGTTGGCCATCTTCACTGAAGGTGGCGCCACTGGTGCAGTGCTAAAGGTGCCCAAAACATTGTGAAGTACCATAACGATGCACATCAGGAATGCAACAAGAACACGGTGGCCAGGCAACATCTCGCTCGGATTTCCAATAACGAAGCGACGCCATCTTCAAAAGTCGTGAAAGTCAAAAATGGGAACATGCATTCAAAATTCGAATCGGGATGAATGAAAACTATGAAACCCTATCAAAAAAATAAAACTTCTTCGTCAAGAAGTGTCCTCATCAATCCGGTTCACTTGAGGCTCGATCGGCACATGGGGCACAACTCGTGACCTCCGCTACGCCACTTGGCCAGACACCCGGCGCAGAACGTGTGACTGCACGAGGTCGTGATCGGGTGGTCGATGTTGCCAAAGCAGATCGTGCACGGCTGCGTCTTCTTCTGGGCGAGCAATTCAGCTCGGATCTCAGCGCGCATCTTCTCCTCCACCTCGTCCTGGATCTCCGCTCGGATCTTGGCACGCAGCATAACTTCCTCCTGCTCAGCTCGAACTGCGGCCTCCACTTCCGCTCTGATCCTCGCCCCTTCCTCAGCTCGAATGCTCGCTTCGACCTCCACACGAAGGCGCGCTTCAAGCTCAGCTCGAGTAGCAGTGGTACTAGCAGCAGCGGCAGCCAATTCGGGCACTTTCTTGGTCGCCTCACCTTCAACATCAGACTCACCATCAAAAGTTTCAGCGCCAACCATGAACCGGCCTGCTTCGTACGCTCGACGACACTCCTCGTGCTCCAGCATGAACGCAACAACATTAGTGTGTCCGTTCTCCTTTGCGACGGTGATAGCGTCCGCCGTGCAGCGCTCCGAGTGGTTTTCGTGCAGATACTGCACCACTGGTAGATGTCCGTTGCGTGCGGCTGCAGTGATCGCGGCGTTGGAAGCTGCTTGGTTAAGGTTGACGTGCAGGTACTTGACGATCTCTAGGAATCCCTTCGACGCTGAATTGATCATCGCGTCGTGCGTGCACCCTTCCGAGCGAGTTTTGTGTAGCCACTCCACCACCTGCAGGTAGCCGCCACTGGCGGCGTTATCGATCGCTGCTGTGGTGCAGCCTTCCTTCCGATTGCAGTGCAGCCACAGAACCACACTGAAGTGGCCGTTGCGCGCAGCTTCGTCCATGGCTGCGGTCGTGCAGCCTTCTGCTCGGTTCTTGTGCAGCCACTTGACCACGTTCAGATGGCCGTTCATCGCCGCTCCATCCATGGCTGCGGTGGTGCATTTCGCGGTTGAATTACCGCCGCCCAAGACGCCGAAGCTCCACAACTCGGGGAATGTGCTGGCGGAATTACGCGTCGCTGAAGAATCCACGGAGAGAACTTCGTGCAGCCACTTGACGACTTCGAGGTGCCCATTTGTCGCCGCTCCGTCCATCGCCTCGGCTGAATATTCAGCGTTGCAGTTGTCGTGCAGCCACTTCAAGCGATCCGGATCGCCGTGGCTGGCGTAATAGTTCTTCATCCGCTTGCAGAAGTCGCTCGAGTCGTGCTTCTCGTGGTGCCAGGTGGTCGGTTCACTACGACTGGCAAACTCGCACTCGTCGGAAGATGAAGCAGACATCAGTACGTAGAATAGAGTCCTAGAGCCGTGATCTCTCCAAATCGAAAGTGACGTGTGAAACAAATTAATAATAAGATGGCTGAAAATGAAAGAGGCGATTAGGCCTAGGGAGAGAGATCGAGGAAGATATCACGAGAAGCTTGGCCGCTTGAGATGAAACGCACAAGAAATTGTTTCTTGGAATCTGAATTCACTTTCTTGGATTTAAAAATCTTCAGAATTCAGAACTCGGAGATTTATGTAGATTTTTTCCCTTTTGATAATTTTTATCGAGGAGTATGAAAGGCTATGCGTATCGGTAGGGAAACCTACGCAACCTAGCCTATCAAGTAAGAAAAATGAAAAGTTTGCTTGGTGATGTCGAGTCACGCCTTTCTTCTGCAGTCTTCCACGTGTCAGTAAACGAGTTAAACATCCTTCGAATCCTCTCCAAGCAGCTCAGCTCGAATCTCGGCACGCATCTTTTTCTCGATCTCGGTTTGGATCTCAGCACGGATTCTGGCTCGCATCTCCTGCTGCTTGGCTCGAACTCTCGCTTGCTTCTCGGCTTGAGCCTTCTTCCCTTCAGCTCCGATGCTCGCCTCCACTTCAGTCCGAATCCTCGCTTGCTCGCTGGTTCGAATGTTTGCCTCCTCTTCGGCTCGAATGCGTTCTTCCAGCTCAGTTCGAGCATCACTGGCGTCACCCACACGACGGTCACTTGGCACGTTGACGCAGCTTATCAGCATTAGCGGAAGCAAGCGGAATGTCAAAAGTACGAGGCAAATCAAGCGCCAGACCTTCTGTGCCGTGGAAAATCCTCCTTCAGTGACAATCCTTGCGTTCTCCGCCTCGTACGCAGCTCGACACTCGTCATGTTTGAGCAGATATTTGACGACAGCAGTGTGTTTCTTCTCCTTTGCGCGAAAAATGGCGTCAGCTCCGCAGCTTTCGGTTCGATTCTCATGCAGATATTCGACTACTCGAAGATGACCGTTCTCCGCGGCGGCGGTGATCGCAGCACTGGTAGCTGGCTGATTAACCTCCGCGTGCAGATACTTTATCACCTCCAAATGTCCCTTCGACGCCGCGTTGATCATGGCAGCAGGGCTGCAGCCTGCCTTTTGATTGTCCTTCAACCACTTGACGGCGGCGAGATATCCCTGCCCCGCGGCATTGTCCATGGCTGCGGTTGAGCAGCCTTCTGAGCGGTTCTCATTCAGCCATCGAGCGACATTCGCTCGACTATTGGTTATCGCGCCGTCCATGGCGGCAGTGGTGCAGCCTTCCGAGCGATTCTCGTGCAAGAACTTGACAACGTTGAGGTGGCCGTTAGTTGCCGCGCCATCCATCGCTCTGGTAGTGCAGCCCTCGGAACGGTTTTCGTGTAGGAACTTGACAACATCGAGGTGGCCGTTTGTCGCGGCGTCATCCATGGCCGCAGTGGTGCATCCCTCAGTGCGATTCTTGTGCAGCCACTCGACAATGTCGAGGCAGCCTGTGCCTGCAGCTTTGTCCATGGCTCCAGTAGTGCCCTCCTCAAATCGGGCCTCGTGGAACCGAATGACGTAGCGTATGTCCACCCTGGATAAGTAACTATCGACTGCGTCGGTGGGTAGTGGCTCGTCGCAGTTGGCCACCATCCAGTCCAAGCATGAATAACGACAAGCATGCGCGTAATAGATCTTCATCCTCTTGCAAAAGTCCCCGGGTCCGTGTTTCTTGTGATGCCATTCGCGTGGCGCCAATGATCCATACTGAGCTTTCTCTTGCGGCGTTAGGATGTCCATGGCGTAGGTCGGTTTATTGGAGGTGGCTTGGGCGACGCTGAGCTTTCGGAAGTGCAAATGCAGAACTGGGAATGGAAAGCGCGGGGATCGGTGATGTTCCCCCCCAATATCGTGGAATGCTGGTTTGATCTCGTCAATCTTTTTTTCGGTAATAAGCAAGAAGAAACCGAGTGATAGATTTGACGTTGTTTGAGTGAAAGATGTCTTTAATTTAACAACCAGCTTATCAGAGTGGTAATGTAGAATTAGAATTGAATTGAAGCTTAGCAATCCGAGAAAAGGCGCTAGATGCACTCGTGCTAAAACAAAGCGCAGTAGACTAACCTCTTGGGTATTTAAACTTGCTGCCATCCACCGTGGTTGTCCATGTCCTCGCCAACTGCAACAAGCACATCGCTCTCCGCTTGGTTTATAGGCCCCTCCTTACAGTCGTTGCATCG